AAGCCATCCAATCCAGTCTTTCATGACTCGGGCCACCTCGTTAGACAGAGGAAAACTGCACTCGTGAATTTTGAGACTTAACTGTAGAAAGCCTCATCTTTCCCTCACATACGGGCTGGTAGTTTTGAACTGCTGACCTTGAGGTTTGCTGCAGATTTCATATCGTTCCAAACTGTTTTGTGGTGGTATTGGTGATTTAAATGGGCTTTTTGTTCGGGAAGTACTTATGTAACTCTTGGGCATTACTTTTGTTCCCCCTTCCCAGGACTGGGTAGAGGGAACCTGCCCAGGGAGGGAGGCCATGTGGGTTAGGAACCAGGGGAAAGGCTCGGCCTGAGGCTTACAGTACTGGTCAGCTCTAGCCCGGCTACCTCCCCAGGTAAGCCATGAAAAATAGTTGTATTTAGTCTGCCTTAATGGTTAGCACACAACCTAGTAAAGGAGACCTTTCAGGCCTGGGGTATAGCCCTGCTGGCCTTTCATCGAAGGTACTGTGTGCCCTGCTGTGTGGAAACTGGCTTAATGAAGACAGTCAACTTTTTAACTGATTATGTAGGCCAGGTAAACAGCTGGGTCTTAATGCAGCTGCACCCTACATGTGACTGGTTTTCAGCATTGATTATTATACGATGAAGTTATTAGACACAGGGGTGTATGTGTATTTGATCCCCCAAAATGACTGCAAAGCAGTTTTTCACTTATCCAAACAGGTGACTTCCTCATAGGCGCCTGACTGTGCAGGTGCAAACATTTCAGTGACAGGAAAACTGGGTTTGAATTAGCCTCTCTGAGTTGAAACGCCTGTTCTTCTTTTTGCAGTTGGTCTTCCTCCCTTTGGGGGGACTCAGAGAGGTCATCCAATGACTTAGACTGGTTGGACGCTTGAGCAGGTTTTAAATGTGTTTTAGAAGCCTCAGTGTTGGGGTTTGGCAGCGTGCTGAGGAACTGACCAAGCAGCAGGATTTAGTCCTTGGCCTTTCATCTGTCCATCTTTAGACAGACTAGCGATCCCTACCAGAGCCTGGATGGTGGCAGGCTTGGCTGCGCACTTCCTTAGATGGGCCTGCTTCGCTCCAGAAGCTATAGAACATGTTCAGCTCTTCTAGAAAGAGCACGTGTGTTCCTAGGCCGAACGCTGGCTCTTCAAGGCTCTGGCTTTACGAGAACGAGCAGTTCCTAGAGGTGTTTTTTGGGGGGAGTGGGGGTGAGAGAGGGGAGGGCTGATGTTGGACTCCATTTTGGGAGTAGTAGTTAAGTCCAGGAAGCAATCGTAGTTTTTAAGAACTAAAACAGATGAGATGCCTAGTAACTTCTCTTCATGCTCCCCCCCATTTCTTCTTTACCACAGGCATGAGGGTGCTGGTAGATGCTCGAGAGAAACTTCATATTCCATGGGGTGATCATTCAAACCAGTTCCACGGAGACAAGATGATGGCCTTTGACACCCGCTCGCCCATGGTGGCCCAGGGCATGGTGGAGACAAGGGTGTTTTTGGAATACCTCCCTGCCATCCGAGGGCTTTGGGCAGATAGTGGCATACAGAACGCTTATGACCGGCGCCGAGAGTTCCAACTGGTAAGAGACTTGAGCCTTTCAAATACTGTGACTTGATTTTAATGATTAATGGCATTTAGTCATACTTGTTTTTAGCCATTTTTTCTGTGGCTTCCAAGGTACACGGTGTCCAGAATTGTGGCCTCAGAAATTATGGATTGCCATACTGTAAGTCTCTGGGGTTAGAGCCGAACTTGGATCAACTGTGGATAACTCCTTATTCACCCTATTATTAGTCTGCCCTCGCGTGGAAACAGGCGTCCCTGCTGGAGTACAGCTGCTTCATCCCCTTCTTCACCTACTACACCTGCAGCTTTTAGGCCATTGACGAGACTTCCCATCTTTTCTTGCACTAAGAGCAAATCCTCTGCCACCTAGATGATTGTACCTCAGAGCCAGCCCTCAGGGACGCAGTAGAAATCCCTGTAGGGTTCCCAAGACTACATTTTTATGGAAGCTATGGAGTAGCAGGTGGGTTCAAATCACTGGCCTATGTTAGCAGCCAAGCACTTTGACCCCTGCACCACCAGGGCTCCTCCTAGCACTAAGCCATTCCAACCCAACCCCACGGCCATGGGTCGAATTCAACTCATACTGACTATAGGACAGAGCAGGACTCCCTTGTGGGTCTGTGAGGCTGCCCCTCCACAGGGGCAGAAGGCCTCGTCGTTCTCCCTCGGAGCCGCTGGTGGGTTCTGACCTTGTGGTTCGCAGCCCAGTGCCTAACCCATGACCCCACCAGGGCTCCTTTCCTGGACGAAAGTGGGGCTGAAATAAGAACAGTGCCCCTGTCGGCTGTAACAACCAATTGGACTGAAAGACACGCTTGGGGATGGGTGGCTCATCACCCACAGGCGCTCTGCTGTGTAAGTGAAGGTTTCAAAATGTTCTTGGGGAAATTGAAAGATAATGGACTTTTGTTTTCTCTTTTGAAGCCCTTTTGTCTGTAAACTTTTTACTAAGCAATGTGGTAACCACTACAGATTTTGGGAAGCTGTTCTATTTAATGGGTCATTTTTTTCCACTTTGAAAGTTGGGATTCTCATAGGTATTTTCTCCTAATTTATTCTTTTTAAAAAATTCTTTTTAAAAGGTCATTTTCTCCAAATTATAATGACGATATTAACCCTTCTAAAAAAGTAGTCCTTAGAGTTTAGTCACTGAATCTAGTTGTTCAAATGTGCCATATAGAAGGGACTCAGAAAACCAGCAAACCACGGAACAACTGGGTTGCCTTTTAATTCCTTTGTTCCGTGAACTTTTTGAAGCCACCTCGTGGTAACCAGGGGTACTTGTTTCATTGGACAGCTAGGTGTAGTATAGAGGGAGATTGACATTTGTAATCTGGCTTAACAGAAAATGTGCTTTTTATGATTCTGCAATGTGCTTTTTTGTATTAGATGCTTAACCACACAGCATGGAACGTTCCTTCATTGAAAGCAAAATAATTTCTTTTACATTTATTTATTCCTCCCAGCGGTGAATGAGACAGCCCATTAATACTTGTAGCAGTTAGACAGCATTGAAGAGTGGGTAGACAGGAGAGGCTCTGATCCAGGTTAGAGAGAGAGAAAGAATAATACAAGAGGTTTTTAATCAAGTGATTTTTAATTTCCTTATGAAAACTTGGGTTGAATTGGGGGTTTTATTTATCAAAGACCCTGAAAAATTCCAGCAGTGATCGGAATCTAGGCTCATGTACAGGTTGTAGGTAGTTCAGTTCCCAAATGTCTAGCTGTCCTGTGATCAAGATCAAGTGACAGTGAAAAGTAAAAGGGCTTAGAAGGTTAAGTGGTGATGTCACAGACACGGCAGTGATCCACATCCGTGTCATGGGTGTGGTTAGGGAGAGGGCTACAGCAGCATCCTGCCCTCTTACTGGGTCTTCCAAAGCCGCCTTGGGTAGTACACTTCTGAGAAAATCTTCATGATCGCTTTATTAAAAACTAACATCTTAATCCTCATTTTCTTTGAATTATGACTCAGTGCACTTCATTGTTTACTGTCTTATCTTCTTCTCTCTGTATCTAGTCTCTTCCTTCTATTTCTGGAAGGCAGGGACTGTCTTGCACTGCTGTTAATGGAGGCAGTGACACCAGGGTATGTGGGGAATTAGGAGTTTAATGTATAAGAGACCTCCGTCCATTTCCTACACTTCTCCTGGTCTTTTGCCCTCTGGTCAGTTTTCTCTTCTTTGCAGCACTCTGCATTGTTTTCTCGGGCCTCTATGCAGCCTTCCCGGCCCAGGAGGCACCTTGTGCCTGCAACAAGGGCACATACTGACGGAATGCGTGAACGGGCTGTTGCAGCCTACTGAGCGCTCAGCCGGAAAGTTCCACGTTTGTCTGGAATCCATTTCATGAGAGTTGGTTTGCACCGGCTTCTCTCAGATTTTGTATCTCACAGCCTCATGTTACGTCACAAGGTTCAGCAAACACTCCTCAGCAGTGCTTTCTCACGAAGAGCAGGTAGGTCAAACCACACAGGATGAGGAATGGCCTGGCTCTTGACTTGAGGATTACACACACACACACACACACACACACACACACACACACACGGCAAGGTCTAGATACTAAGCTCCTGTAGGTAGGATCTTTTGCCCTCAGCATATGCTCGGTGTGGTTAACAACACCTGGTGCATCTGCTCAGTGAGTATGTTGAATCAAAACGTCTACCCTTCTTTTGGGTGAGTTGGGTGCCTACGGTAGTGTTGCTGGGCATTGGGAGCACACAGGACGTGTTTAAAATTTCTCTCAGTCACCTTCCGTTCTTCCTGCCTGTCTACACAAGGCCCATTTCCCAGTCCCAGCCTCCTTACTCTCTCCTGTAGGTGACCATCAGGGCGTCTCAGCATGGGCTTGCTCAGAAACCATTGCCTGTTTTCCATTAGTTTCCAGCCAGACTTGAGCTTCTATTTCAGTAGTGGGCCTCCAGGAGGTCCATTCTACAGCCTTTTAATTCCTACAGAACCCGATTTTCCGCTTCCAGGCGGAGAATCCCACTCCCTCTACCGAGACTCATCCTGACCCCATCTGCCCATTGAAGCTTTGCCCTTTCTGTAGAGCATTGGCAACCAGGTTTTGATGTGATCGAATGTTGCCCATGGCCCCCTTGCATGTGAGGTTCACCTGGGATGTGGGGTAGGGGGAGAGAAATAGTAAATGAGTGAACCGGCACAAGGCGGTTCCCAGCCTCCATCACCAGAGAACCTGCCTTCGGAATTGGGGCCGGCGCCCGGTGAGCTCTGTTTTCCACACCCTCACAGGTGGACTGGGCTCTCTGTGCCCTGCACGCTCATTAGAGTGTTTGCTCCTGCCCCTCATCCTAGTCGCTGGCTTGGGGTTGTTGGCATATGGCCAGGGCTCGTGTACCCCCTTGGAACCTCTTGGGATATGTCTTGTCTGCCTTTTGCCCCTTAGGGCTTAGCACTTACTTTCCCTCTGCAATCCTTGACCCTCCCTCCAATCCCTGTGGTTCTTTGAGAAGAGAGACATTCTGCATTCAGTTCCTTCTGAGAAAGAGGGATTGTTTCCAACTAGTTTCTTTCAGTTTCTGCTATCCTTCGTTCTCTGCTGTGATATCTAGCCACGTACAGTCTTGAACCATGGCTAGAAATAGGAAACGTCAGGGAAAATGGGAAGAGTTGAAAAAGAAAGTAACTAAAACTGGCCCTTTTGTTTCTCTAAATGATTGCTTATTAAAGTTATTCCTGCAAATCAAATTTATTCCTCCCTGTACACAGGTACAGATAGGAACTGGAAATACAGGGAATCCAGGGCGGATGATCCCTACACAACCAGTGATGTGAGTGGTGATACTGGGAGGGTAGAGGGAGAGTGGGTAGGAAAGAGG